TATTAAATTTTTAAACAAGAAAAAAGAGAACAAAGCCAAAAGTGCTGAAAGAAAAGAAAGAAAGAAAAAAGTATAAGGAAATTACTTCCGATTTTCTTTTACAACAGCTATAGATATAGATTTAAATTGAACTCTTACACTAGGGTTACAACATAACTTTCATTTTTTCTATCATCTAATATTTTTTCTAATAATCAAACCCATATATCATATCACTTTTTTTCTGTTTTGTGCAAAAAGTCCAGAAGGGGTTTCCAGTCAGCATTGATCTTAATCATTGTCTTTTTTCTGATCAAAGCTGTCAATTTAGCCATCTCAGCAAACTCCATCATCTTCATGAACCACTCTTCCATTGTGGGAACATTGTGGGTCCTTCCACCATTGTGCATATAAAAGTCTCGCTGTTGTTATCATGCCTATAAACAAAGTACCCTGAGTTTTTTCAACTCTTTGTCAGTCAGTCCCAAAAGAAACATCTCTGGCTTCAATTGTATATTAATCTTTAAAATCTTCTGAATTAATGTATGTATTTGGATCCAAATTTTTTTAGCTTTTTTACAGTTTTTTCAACTCTTTGTCAGTCAGTCCCAAAAGAAACATCTCTGGCTTCAATTGTATATTAATCTTTAAAATCTTCTGAATTAATGTATGTATTTGGATCCAAATTTTTTTAGCTTTTTTACATGTCCACCAAGCATGATAAAAAGTCCCCTCTTGTTCACATTTCCAACATATATTCGAAGTACCTTCATACCATTTAGACAATTTTTCCGGTGACAAATACCAACTATACGTCATCTTATAAAAATTTTCCTTAAGATTATAACATAATGTAAATTTCAGTCCTTTCATCCACATATTTTCCCATTGTTCCATTTGAAGTCATAACCAAAATTTTTGTCCCATTTTATCACACATGCTTTCACTTGTTCTTCTGTTTCAAATCTAAATAAAAGTTTATACATTTTAGCAATAACATGTTCATAATTTGTACATAATTCTGTTTCAAATTCAGTCTTAGAATATTCAAAACCAAAAGTCCTTTTATCTACTTTAAATCTGTCTAATAATTGTACATAGGAAAACCATTGACATGTATATCCTTCTAACGTCAAGTCATCTCTTGATTTCATTTTGAATTCGCTTTGGGGAAATTCTAACGTATTACCATAAGTTAATCATTTATTTATTTATTTATTTATTTATTTATTTATTTATTTATTTATTTAT